TTGGCATGATGGATGGATGGATGGATGGATGGATGGATGGATGGATGGATGGATGGATGCATGGATGGATGGATGGATGGATGGATGGATGGATGGATGGATGGATGGATGGATGGATGGATGACATAATTGGAAAAAATGTTGATGATGTTTGGTAAACTATTGCTATATGTCTTGTTTTTTTTGTTTTTTTTTCATTCATTCAACGTTTATTTCTACAGGTTAATCCCATTGAGCCTCGAGGACTCATTTACAAGAGAGACCTGATTTCAATAAAGAATGATGACGACAATAAACAGTTATAAAAAGGCATACTTTTTTTTTTTAACGAATAAGATGACTAAAAAAAGAAAAGTAACAAAAAACAGCTAGATTCAGAAACAGCTAGTTTTTTTTACTAATATGAATATTAGGCCGGAACCAAAGTTTAAAGCTGATCTGTGCTGTTACTGGTGACTTCTGGAGGTAATTTGTTGCTTTGAATTAGGACCAGAGTGAAATGGGGCTGACATAATTTTCAGATTTGTATTTGTAAAACTTTTTAAAAACCATGTTTCATTTTCCTTCCAGTTTAAAATAACGCTCCACATTCTGTTGAAATGTCCCATAAATTCACAAAAAAACCCAAAAAACTTTTAAACTGTCTCAGAGGAGTTGACGGGGGAGAGGGCGGGCCCCGGAGGCCATCTTATCACCAGCAAACTGTTTTGTTCCCCCCCCGCTATGGGAGTACGCTGTTCGTGGGATTCAGTTTGTTTGGTGGCTCCTCAGATTGAAGAAGTCCTTTGGATGAAGGACGAAACATCTCAGCAACAAAAGAAACCGTCCAGATGACCTGACTGAACATAGTTGGATTTTTACCTGGATTATTGAGCATGAACTTTGGTAATACTTTTAAAGTTTGTAGAGACTAAATTTAATTATAGGGGAAAACATCTTTTAAATTATTAATAATGCATAAAACACTTTTTGGGCAATTTAATTATTTATTTATTTAGCATTGCCCCAATCCTCGTTACGCTCAAGCTTCTGTTGTGAGGAGCAACACATGGTTTTGCTTATTTGCAGCTTGTGGTGTCAGCTCTTTTGTTTCTGTCGTTGTGGGTGTTGACAGCAAACCCACCCAGTGTTCAAACAGCCCGAGCAAATGTTCGACTTTTAACAACTTCACATTTGTAGAATCGTACTTGAAATTCACATACATATATATATATATTTTTTTTTTTTTTTTTTTTTTTTTTATGTGTCTCAGTGACTGAACTGCAGAAGTGCACAAACAGCAGTTTCACTTCACCTCCTTTGTTAATTTCTCACCAATTTTTTTAAAACAAACGCACACGGCTGCAAATCTAGTATTTTACGTACCTGAAGAATTTATCAACGCTAGAAGGGGAAACAATATATATATATATATATATATATATATATATATATATATATATATATATATATATATATATATAGATCTATATATATATATATATATATATATATATATATATATATATATATATTAATGCTCACATAATATAGAAAATTTGCAGAATCTTACTGAACAGCTTGTTGTAAAAAGGACACGGCAAAAAGAAGTTTGCACGCAACCTGATCCTGCAACCGAATCTCACTTTCATTAATCGTTAACGTTGCGATTTTTCTCTTTACAGATGACACATCAGCTAAAGAAGTCAGCAGGGTAAGCTTTTATTTTAAATGTCATAGAAAAGAAAACGCCTTACGGTTTTACAAAATCCATTTAAGACTTGCTGTTACAAAATGTATGAAATAATGTAAGAAATTTAAAATAATTCCTAAGGGAACGTTTGTGTGATCCAGCGGACAGAACAAACGATTGGAAAAAATCGATCCCCTCTCGCCACATGTGTTCACACCTTTGCCAGTCATGTCAGGAGGGGGGGTCTGGTCGTCAGCACTTCCAGCAGCGCTGTGCAGCTTTAGTGGAAATGAACTCACACACACAAACACACACACAGGCAAATAAATGAGGTTCCCTCAACCCCTCAGTGCGTCATCCATACGTCTGTGCAAACAGGATGTGGGAGGGCAGAAGGCATCCCATTGGGGAAGCTTTCTAGTGCACCACTCTCCCTGCTGTCCTGTCCTCGCCCTCTCTGTAGGCCCAGAAATAGGCGTCTCTTTGGCCTTGTAAAGAAAAGGCAGAAGTTTGACATAGCAACACTTTAAGGGCAGGGGCTCAGCAGCAGAACTGTGACTGATCCCTGAACTGAAATGCAACAGGGAAAAGAAAAGATTTCAAATCCTGTCAGTGGAGAAAATTTGAGAGAAAATTCAAACCATCTTTCCTACTATCGCTTCTGGTTTTCCATCTGATGAGGCAACTTTAAAAATGTGACTAGAACCTGATTTATGACTGTTTTTGTCCTGTTGAGCTCTCTGAATTGTCAAAAATAATAGATTCATCCAAACCATCCACATATCTGCTAGATCCCATCCCAACCAGGCTATTTAAAGAGGCATTTCCATTAATTAATAACCACATCTTGGATTTGCTTAATTTGTCTAATGAATGGTTGCCTACCACAGAGCTTTAAGATTGCTGTAATGAAACCTGTATGTAAGAAACTTAACCTTGACTCAGGAATCCTAGCCAGTTATAGACCTATATCTAATCTAACTTTCATCTAAAAAAAAATTATAGAGAAAATAGTTGCAGGTCAGTTGCATGAACATCTGCAAAGAAATAATCTGTTTGAGGAGTTTCAGTCAGGGTTTAAAGCTCACCATAGCACAGCAACTGCATTGGTGAAAGTTACTAATCATATTCTCATGGCCTCTGACAATGGACAGGTGTCTACACTGGTCCTGTTAGACCTCAGTGCTGTATTTGATACAGTTGATCACAATATTCTACTATAGAGGCTTGGATATGATATTGGGGTTGCAGGAACAGCTCTAAAATTGTTTAAATAAACTGAATTGGCTTGAATTCAATGTTTGTGTGAGGCTACAGCGATGTGATGTCTGTGTGTCCAGCAGTACCAGGACACGAACATGCAGGGCGTGGTGTACGAACTAAACAGCTACATGGAGCAGCGACTGGACACTGGAGGAGACAACAAGCTCCTGCTCTACGAGTTGTCCAACATCGTCAAAGCAGGTAAAAATCAAAAAGAATGTCGCTAAACCCTCATGCATCAGTCAGATCGCACTAAGCCTGCTTTTAGAGACTAACTGTAGACGTTTATAGAAACAAAAATGTGTTTATGACAAATGCATGGATAAACATCTCTCGGGTCAAATTCTTTTGATGTCCTCAAAGCAACTTAGAGAAGAAGAGGGATTTTCTGTGGTAAAAACCTTAAAAAAAAGTCAAATTGTTGGTACATTTTTATTAAAACTGCTTCTTAATACGATAAACACAAACCACACGGTGATACGATAAGAAGGGAGCAAAAATATATAAATGTTTCTATTATTAACTAGAAGCTTTGTTCAATTAATAATAATGTAAAAACACAATTAATTGCAACATTTAGTAATGAAAATAGGAAAAATCTTTATCATTTCAAAAGCGTGAAGGTTTTGTCACCTGCCACTGAAAGGCAAAAGTAGGTGCAAATGTTTTTGCTCGTTTGTGTCTGTCTGTTAGCAAAACATCTCATGAATTGATGAAAAAGCATTGATTTTAATGAAACTAGCAGAAAGTAATCATTGAATTATCATTGATAAAGTGTTGAAGTCAACTTGATTCAAAATGGCTCCCACAGCCAACTGACATTAAAACCCACATAAATGGTTATAACTCAGTCAATTTTACAGATACTGACAAATATTGGTGTGGAAGAAGATTAAATTAATCCCCAACACATCATGAGCACTAACAGACTGCCCAAGATCTTTCTCATGAACTATTTGGAGTCACCTCGGTTTATCTGTCAGTAAAATATCTCACTAATCACTGGGCATATTTTAATGAAACTTCCAGGACATCGTTACCAAGTTTACGCCTACAGCCGTTTAACATTTGGAGTCAACCCAAACCAATATGGCCACCACGTTGTACTGAAAACACAAAAATGGTTATAAGTCAGTCAACTTGACTGATACTATGCAAAAATATGACGTGGTAGTAGCTGAGAGTCATACCTGAGAATGACATCTAGCAATATTACGCCTATAATAATTTTCCAGGTTTTATCATAGCAGCTGCAGCGCTGTAACTTCTCAACATAAGATGATCTCAGTGTAAAACTCTGGCATTAAAGGTGGCGGGAGATATGCATTCCAGCTAGGTCTTTAAAGTCATTCATTACAAGTTCACCTACTGGAAAAGGAAAAGGAGGACTGGGAATGGGATGCCAAAGAATTAGATTATACTGTTTTCATGATTCTTTTTTGTATAAATATGCCTTTTATTATTAGAGACATCTGTCTGAGACCGGCAGCTGCTGATAATTGTTCCTGCGCTGTCTTTTCTTTCTCAACAGCAACAAAAGCTGATAGTTTTGCACTTTACTTCTTGGGAGAATGCAACAATGTGAGTACAAGAGCCTTTGACTGGATACGCTCATTTAGGTGGTGTCTTCAGTTTTAATCATTGTTGTCTCTGCTTCTCAACAGAGTTTATGTTTATTCACTCCAATGGGGGCCAAAGACGGCCATCCAAACCTCGTCCCGTCCGGCCCCATCGCATACGGGACAACAATCGCCGCTTATGTTGCCAAGACTCGCAAAACACTGCTGGTGGAGGACATCATGGGGGTACGGCTGCCGTCATGAAACCGGACCTACGCCAGTGATTACAACTAGAGGACAACTGGACTTGTCTCGTTCCTCGACAAAAACATTTCATGTCTAAGCCAAAAAGCTTCTTGTGATCCGATTATGGATTGGGAGTTCCAGGCAGGAGCCAAAACGTCTTGAAGAAACAAGAGAAGTCTAGTTGTCCTCTGTTAAACTACTTGCCATGTCTTGGATGAGAATCTACACCAGCGTATCTCTCATTACAACAATCAATATGTCCCGGCAATGCTGTAATGTTTATTATAGAGCTCTTTAAATGGAAAATTAATGTCTACTTTTTATGTAATATAATTGTAACCCTTAGGATGATTTGGTTGTTTATTTAGAGAACAGGTGGTTGCAGATCATGAACTATTTGATAAAAAACAGGAGTTTTACTTAAAGTGAACTGAACAAGAAAAGATCCGTAGGAATACAAGTACTAAATACCAAACTGGCTTTTTAAAGTCTTTATATCTTATTAGTTGTCCTCGGGTCATTTTGACCTAAGAACAGCAGGAGGGTTATGACTTGCACTGTTAGTTTAAAGTCTCGTGTGCTTGAATGAAATAAAAAGCTAAACAGGTGTTTGTGTTTGAAGGACGATCGATTTCCCGACGGCACAGGGCAGGACTCAGGGATCCATGTTCACTCTGTCCTGTGCCTCCCCATTATCACTGCCATCGGGGACCTCATCGCCATCTTGGAGTTGCATCGGCATTGGGGCAAGGAACCCTTCAACATTAGTCACCAGGAGGTCGGTCTGCAGACAACAATGACTTGAATGTAGAAAGCGGTGCAGTCATTTTCCAATTGAAGTTACGCTCATTAAAACATGAGATTGTGTGTCTTTATCGCACAATCTTCTTGTAGTTCTTGAACACTAAACGTCCCCATCTTTTCCAGGTTGCAACAGCAAATTTAGCGTGGGCATCAGTTGCCATTCATCAAGTACAGGTAGGCAAACACCAGTAAATTCCTGCTCGGAATTTGATATTGTCCTTTTTTTAACTGGTACAATGTACCGCAACACTCCACTGGAGACAACGTGTCCTCTACTAGTCCCATTTATTATGTTTCTGGGTATCTTTGTTTGTTCTGGTTCTGCACTGGGGAAATCCACTGGGTTTTCGCTGCACCCAGTCCAATCAACTAGACCATAGGTTCAACAAACAGCTCCCAGGCGACGTCATTATGTATTACGAAACGATAGTACAAAGCCCCCCGAGGAGCGGTGTCCCACTGCAGAGCCGTCCACAGTGGACCTCTGAGCCACAGTTAGCGATGAAGCGCGGCGGTTAGTTACTAACTGATAACCTGTGTTGTTACAGAAACACAGGGAGAGTGTGTAGACGTGTTAGTAGACACTGAGCTGGTCTGGCTGCTGAATCTGTTTTGAGATGCATTTTTCTGATACATCTGTGTGCTTGATCGTGACTTATTTTTCTTTCTGACAGACGTGCAGAGGCCTTGCCAAACAGACCGAGCTCAATGACTTCCTGCTAGACGTGTCAAAGTAAGAGCTGCTCTTATAACTGTTTCTGTAACGCCTAATGAATCGACTGTAAGTACATTATAACTAATGCAAGCTCTAAAGTGAGGCTGTTTTGCATCTTTTGTCAACGACTTTTGCAATCCCACAAAAAAGGAATATACAGTAGTCCCTCGATTATCGCGGGGGGTTACATTCCACACACCACCGCAATAGGTGAAAAAAACGCAAAGTAGGAACACTATTTATTTATGTTAAGGATTTATAAACCTTTCCCATGCTCTTGCAATGTTCTATACGTAATTTTAACAACATACGTGTATGTACAGCACAGTACTGCAACATTTTACTCACCAGCTCTGCAGAGCAGCAGCTCGGTTCTGGTCGGGCTTGGTTCACGTTCTGCAGACTTACCCTGCAGTGACGAAGTCCACCGCCCCGTCCAGGTTGAAGTGCACATGGATAATTGAGCTTCAGGAAGCTTCAGGATAATTTGCAACTTTCCTGCCGGTTCTGTGAGCTTAATAGCGTTGGTGTAGTCTACGTGATACTTGGGCATACAGAGTATACCCACTAGAAAAGCTTAAAAATTTCAGTATACCCTCTTAAAAGTGCCCAATGATACATGACATATCATTAGGCACGTGTCATTGATATGTTAAACGGCAGTTAAATGCTTCCATAACAATCTATCAATATGCAGCGCTTTGCTTTGATACTGTTTTATAAATTTTATAACATATTTTTAATACAAAGCCAACTGTCGTACAAAGTTTGTTGTTCATTTATTCAAATATAAGCATCAGAGAAACTTGGAAATGTTCAATATGCTTAAAAATCAAAATAAATTGACGATTACATTGTACTAACCAGTGTACTTTGGTTTCTAAGCACATTATGCCCACTACAAAAATGTAGACTACACCACTGCTTAATAGATAGATCGTTACTTCTGACTTTGCATTGCAAAACTTAGACTGGTCACGATAAACAATAAATCAATTAATCTCAAGATAAATGAAAATTATCTACCTCAATTTCATTTATTAGCTTTATTGTTTCTTCATGTCTGTCTCTTTCTAGTGGACACTGGATGACAAAAAGCTCAACTTCGATGCTCTTCACTGACCCCTCCCTTTCTCCTTTCTCTTTAAAATCCATTTTAACGATCCAAAATCGCGTTTTTGGATCGTTAAAAGCAGCTAAGCTGCGAAGGTAAGCTATAAGCTAAGCTAACAGGCCGACATCGGGGAAAAAAACTCCGTCTTGTCAAAGCTCCAAAATTCACGGTTGAAACCTGTGCCTTCATGTAAAAAGTTGTTTTTCTCTGCAAAAAGAAGCTGAGAACTTGTTTACGGATTTTTTTTTTTTTTAAAGCTTTGTGTGACAAATGCTATGCTAAAGAGCTCAAATCACATCGAGCGTCCGCCATTTTGAGAACCAAAAAACAGGAAGGAGAGACGGCCCATGTCACATCCTATCCCATTTTTTCTTAAAGAGACACACTGCTTGCTCCCTCACTATCCGTCCTTCAGTTCAAACTGTCTTATACTGCCATCCGGTGGTCAAAACGGTACTGCACTCAAAACAAATTAACCAACATTTCTCCTTAATTTTGACAATAACTACTAGTTATTGTCAAATTTCAAACAATATTATCGTTTATCGCAATAATTTCTGGGACAATTAATTGCCTAGCAAAATTTGTTATCGTGACAGGCCCAGCAAAACTCTCCCTCCATTTCAACAGAAAGCAGTGGCCAGAAGCACTGTTGACTTCTGGGTAGTGTAGTTCTTTTGAACTGCGTTACACTATAGGTTTTTTGAAAGAAAACTACAAAATGGCGACGCCTATCTGAAGTTTTTTTTTTTTTTTTTTACTTTTTATCCCGTACCGTCCCAATTATGTGAGTAATATTAAAGTTGACAATCTTGTGTTGTGTACAATCTTACGTTGAAAAACCCCGAAAGAATGCACAAAAGTCAAACTGTGAAGTAGCGAGGGACTACTGTATTTCATTTTAGGCAACTTCATGTCTTGGAAGTAAATGTCAAGGTTTTCCTTTTTTCAACCATTGTTTTCTTTTTGCACAGAACATACTTTGATAATATTGTGGCAATAGATTCTCTACTTGAACATATTATGGTAAGCTCAATTTCTGCAAATTCATATTAATTCCTTGCCTTTAACGCTACACATGCAGGGAAACCGTGTTAACCTATGTGCATTACAGAGTAGCAATACACCCTGCTGACACGTTCTAGATAATACAAATTAAATAAACAGTATAAATCAAAATGCGCTTAATATCATAATGTGTTTTTCTTTTTAAACTGTACTTTTTAAATCAAAACCTTTTCATTTTAACAACGTGATGTGCGTTTTTACTCTGTTTTTATCTTCCGAATCTCCACCTCTTTGTATTTAATATTATATCTGATTCAAATAAGCTGCAGATTTTTAGGTTCTCTCTGTGTCGTTCTGTTTTTTTTACAGATATATGCAAAAAACCTGGTGAATGCGGACAGGTGTGCACTCTTCCAGGTAGATCACAGCAACAAAGAACTGTACTCTGACCTGTTCGACATCGGGGAGGAGAAGGAAGGCAAACCTGTCTTTAGGAAAACAAAAGAAATAAGGTGTGCATGATTCAGTATCCTCTAGCTGTATATGTTTTAAACTTTCATTGTACACATCTGTGATTGATTTTTTCACATGATTTTTTGTTTCAGTCCACTTGGCCTAGAGTAAGAACTTTCTCTCTGTCTCTACAGGTTTTCTATAGACAAAGGAATAGCTGGCCAAGTAGCTCGGACAGGGGAAGTCTTAAATATCCCAGATGCCTATGCAGACCCACGGTTTAACCGGTAAACACAAAGATGATCTAAATAAAGCTTGATTTTAAAGCTTTATTTAGGTTTCAAACATTTAATCGTTCCAGGACTCTTCTACAAAGCTGAAAAAAAAAACCACCTTTGTGCTTCTTCACAGAGAAGTAGACCTCAAAACTGGCTACACCACGCGGAACATCTTGTGCATGCCCATCGTGAGCAGGGGGACCGTAATAGGTGTGGTGCAGATGGTGAACAAGTTAAGCGGAAGTGCCTTCACTAAAACGGACGAGAACAACTTTAAGATGTTTGCTGTCTTTTGTGCTTTGGCCTTACACTGTGCAAATGTAAGTACCTCAGCATCCTCAGAGTGTGTATTGATACACTCTTACATAAAATATGATTAACGGCCTTGGTTTCCTTGAAGGAATGCACATCACCCGCCTTTCACATCCATGATTTAAGCTAAATTCATCATGCAGTTGTGGCGTCATAGCTCTTTTGGTCAAACCTTGTAAATGGCATTTTGCTTAAGCTCGTGTGATATTAAAATAATGTGTTAAGGATTACTTTCAGCTACTACCACACCAAATATTAGCTAAATTTCTTTAAAACCGACTGAGTTACAGCCAATTTTGTGTTTCCCAGGATTGGTTGGTTTTAGTGGCCATTTTGAATTGAGTTTACTTCAAAGGTTATTCAGTTTTAGATGCTCATTCATTGATTATTTTCTAAGAGTTTCATTAAAATCCCTTTAGTGGTTCTTGAGATATTTTGCTAACAGGCAAACACAGTTGGCTCCAATAGTTAATGGCAAAGTTTTAAAAGACAATCTTGCGCTATTGGTTACCACTCAGAGTATGTGATGAGAGTTACTCTCAGCTACTACCAAATTAAACTAAAACTCAAAATATATCAAATTGGCTGTGTTGTAGCCCTTTTTGTGTTTGTTGAGGTCACTTAGCTGTAGCGGTTATCTCATATTGAGTTGACTCCAAAAGTTAAAGAGTTGTAAATGTGCATCTAATAATTACTTTCTGAGAGTTTTATGAAATAGTCTCCAGTGGGTCATGAGATATTTTGCTAACAGACAAACATGTTGCTTTAGTTAGTTTATTTGTTTGTGATGTAGTCAGTTCTGACTGTTCCTGTCTGTTAAGCTTTGATGTAATGGCTCATGATCACCTTCAGCTGCAGTATTCCAAATGTGCTTCTGTGATCTTGTATTTTTTTTTTAAAATAGAAAATAGTTTCTATTTAGAGTGTACATTTGCACAAAACATGAAAAAAAGCTGCTGATTATCCCCTTCATGAGTCATTTAAAACTCCTGAAGCCTGCATTGTGTGGTCTGTCTGTCAAGGCGTCCTCTCGCTGTGAAACCTGACTCACTGTCAGCTGCGTGCGACACTCTTACGCACGAGCTGCGTCACTAAGTCGGTTTTAAAATTAATGCGGGATGTTAATATTTTAAGACGAGCGCTGCACGATCCACGCAGCGGCGGGATTTATGTTCAGCTGTAATTTATGCCCCACGTCTCCAGGGAGCGTCACTCGAGCCGGCTCCTGATTGGCTGTGATTTATGGTGGAAGGTGTGAGGCTTGGCGTCTCCCACCTGACCATCGCACTGCTGCTCTTTCTTTAGAGGGGACGGGTCGGGAGGGATGCAAACCAGATGTGAAGAATCAGCCCCTTTCGGAAATTCCATCAGTGACGCATTACGGATTTAATAACAGTATTGTAGAATATTTCAGCGACGCTTATAGGTCTGGAGCATTGAGCGTCTCTCATGTGATTTTGTCTGCAGATGTACCACAGGATCCGGCACTCTGAATGCATTTACAGAGTGACGATGGAGAAACTGTCCTATCACAGCATCTGCACGTCAGAAGAATGGAAGACTCTCACCCAGCTCAACCTCCCAGAACCCATTTATAAAGAAATAGAAACGTGAGCATCTCTCATTTGCAACAAAGTCAAGTCAGGTCATCTGGACGGTTTCTTTTTTTTGTTGAGACGTTTCGTCCTTCATGCATCCATCCATTCCATTCCTTATCACCAGCAAACTGGTTGGCCCACTATGTGAGTGTGCTGCTCGTGGGACTAAGTTTAGGCTCCCACATACCTGGGCATACTTTGTTCTCCGTAAGCCGCGCGGACACTGTGAACACTGCGAACACTGTCCGCAGACGGTTCTGACTTCATATTCGAGCGTACACCCCGATGGGCTGCAGACCAGCTCCGCAGGCAAGGGGCGGGACAAATTGAGGTTGCCGATTGGTCATTTGCTGACACGCCTACTAGACTGATTGACAGGTCACAAATAAAACAAAAACTGAAAGCTACCGGCAGCCCAGGAGCAGCGGCAGCAGTGCTCTGTGTTTATATTAGGGATGCACTGATCCACTTTTTTCACTTCCGATACCGATTTGTGCGGTTTAGTGTTGCCGGTACCGATCCAATATCGATCCGATGTAGAAAAGCATGGTGCTGCATTCTGTTCAACAAACTCAGTGTGCTCTTTATGGTGAAATCTCTGGAGGTGTTTGATTAAGTTGGTAGTGTTATAACTGGAAGTTTTAGTGACACCCCCTGGAACCGTCGCTGTGCATGTACTGCACGTAGCTGTCGAATGTGTTGGCTGACGTAGTGTGAAATAGTTGCAGATGGCTGATCCTTTCGCTCGCTCCATTTTGAAAACATTCTAAGTTAGCTAGCGAGTGATGTCACTCAGAGCACAAAGCATAGAATTAGAGTGAATAGATCTGTCCAGTCCTGGATCGGTCACATTGTCACGATACACGATCCAGAATATTTTTTGATATCGGTACCAATATTGATATTGGTATCGGATAGGTGCATCTCTAGTTTTGTGTGTTGTTAATGAAAAGTTATTTAAAAAAAAAAAAACAGGGAGCGCTGGCCCTGCAGCCCACACATCATACCATCCCACTGGGAAATCTCCAGGCCCTCCCGCAGCCGCCCTGGACCTGATTTTAATTCTCTCTTTTCTCACAATTTCAGACATAGCGTCAACGGATGAGGAGGAAGTGATCACTTGCCTCTTGAAAAAAAAAAAAAAAAAGGCCATTAAACCAGATCAGGGATGAAGAAAGGGAATTTAATACATTAGTGTCGCATACAAAACAGTCCGTCGCCGGGAAGTTTATTGTGCGACACCGAGTACGTGTACGCAGTCGTGGAAATTGATCTTTGTGCAGACATGGCTTGTGGACGTCCATTTCGAGTCTGCAAGTCTAATCGGGTACGCGCTGACCTCTGAGGAGTGAAGTACACCCGAGTATGTGGGAGCCTTGTTGTGGCTGCACTGACTGATGAAATCCTTTGGATGACGGATGAAACGTCTCAACAACAAAACAAAAAAAACGTCCAGATGACCCGACTTAACTCCGTTAGATTTTTTTACCTGGATTATTGAGTGTGAACTTTGATGCTGATCTCTCCTTTGCGTTGCTTTTATGTCGAGCGTTTCCTTCTAAACTTTTGTCTTCATATCTCCAGATGCTATTTTAAGACTTTGCTTTCATGCCTTTCTCTGTCCTCCAGCTTTCAGTTTGACATCAGTCCCTTTGAGGAGATCTGGCCGGCTGTTTTTATCTACATGGTTCATAACTCCTGTGGACAGAACAGGTTAGTGTCGCACAACCAGGAATGTGACTGTGTCTTAGTTGAAGCAAGCGTCAAACCTTCTTTTTATTTTCTATGGACGCAGCTTTGAGCTGGAGAAGCTATGTAGGTTCACCATGTCCGTACGGAAAAACTACCGCCGTGTGCCGTATCACAACTGGAAGCACGCGGTGACAGTGGTGCACTGTATGTACGCCATCCTTCAGAAAACAACCGGGACCTTCACGGAGCTGGAGGTTTGCGTCATCTAAAGTAAATGCTTGATTTTAGATTTTTGAGTGATTGTTTTCTGAATTAGCCCTTCTGTTTTACAGAAGAAAGGTTTGTTGATAGCCTGCCTGTGCCATGACCTGGACCATCGAGGGTACAGCAACGCATACCTGCAGAAGTTTGACCACCCACTGGCTGCGCTGTACTCCACCTCCACTATGGAGCAGCACCACTTCTCTCAAACCGTCTCCATCCTGCAGGTAGAGCTCCACAGTAAGCGCAGTAATAAAAAAAAAGATGTAAATAAATTTTTGTCTTAATTTACACATTCATTGTCAAACAAGCAGCTTTATCATGCAACAAAAACATCCTTAAGAAAAATAGCAAGAAATGGATGAAAAAATACAATATTTCCAAGAAACAGTTATGTCAGAGATTATTCCACGTGTAAACTTATTTAATTTGCAAGTCAAAACAAATTTAAAAAATGAAAGTAGCATTCTTTAAAGGAATTCATATCACCTGCCACCTTGCAAGCCAAAGTTTTAACCAAAGATGCTGCTTAGTCTGTTAGCACTCAGAGTATGTGTTTTAAGTAACTGACAGCTCCTGCCACACCAAACTTCAGCTCATAAGCTATAAAACTGACTGAGTTTTAGCCATTTTTGTGTTGGCTAATATTGATTAGCCGTGGCAGCCATCTTGAACTGGAGTGACCCCAAAAGGTAATCAGTTATAGAAGCACAACAAGTGATTACCGTATTTTTTGCCCTATAAGTCGCAGTTTTTTGCATAATTTGCATGACGTATTTATGGATTTCTTCCAATATTTATAAACCAGTTTTTGCCTGAGATATGACCGTTTTCATTCATTCTGACTGAAAATATTGAACGCTACCATTTTCAGCCGTTAGATGGCAGTCGAGCAAATGTGGCATGCTGTTGTATCATGCAATAGGTAAAAGTGGCTATTAATGACACAATCGGCTTGCCATAGCCTGACACCATTGTCTACCTGGAGCAATCGTCAAATCAGCTTCATTTCGCTGTGCTGCCCCTGCAAAATGCAGCTGATTTGACCATTGAAGTGCATTTATTAAGTAAAAGTTCAACTGAGTCGAGCTAACAGATAATTGTTTTTAGGTGGTTATCTTGTTAAATTTCTAAGAAGTGGACATCGAGTCGCCCTGTGCGCATTCATGTTTCCACGTCTTGGCTTTTGAAAATGCAGCTGATTTGACCATCAAAGTGTATTTATTAAGGAAAAAGACTGAGACACACATTTGCTATAATTTCAAGCAAACAAATAATTGTTTTTAAGTGATTCTCTTGTTAAATTCTTGTTAAAGTCCTCCCGTGCACGCTCTCTCAGCCGCCATTTGGCAGCCAATCGATTTTTGGCACAACACCGGCTCACATTTCCAGGTTGTCAGCGGTGACACATAATAGATGCGACTTATACGGTGAAGTGACATGTTTATGGATTTTTCTACTTTATTAGACATATTTGGACTGGTGCAACTTATACAGCGGAAAATACGATACTTTCTGAGAATTTCATTTAAATCCATCCAGTGGTTCGTGAGATATTTTGCTAACAGGCAAACAAACATACACACAGGAAATTAGATGTCTGCTTGCCTTTCATGTTATTTTCAAAGGTGCACTGGCATAAATCTGTCATTTTAACCTGTAATCTCGGTACTCTCTGTTTATTTGTCCTGCACATCACACAGATGCTTGATTACATAATTATTCAAGTAATTTAGAGTTCATACTTTGTGTTCCTCAAAGCATTATTGAACCAGCTGAAAAATGCTGCTGGTAGTGAGCAGTTTGCATAAATGGGAGTTCTCCATCAGTAACAGTGTTTAAGTGTCAATTACAAAGCACTAAGTCAAAGTGGCAAAGTGACGATACACCCGCCTGCTTCTTCTGCTCTTATAATGCCTCCTGCTGTTTTACTCTCTCCAGAAAAATAACGTCGACCAACATGCTGTAAAAGGAAAGATGGTTCATAAACCGATCCACCTTCTCACGTTGGTATTTTGGCCCACAAGAGCTTCAGTTGTGCGGCTCGATGACGCAGCAGACTTTGTGTTGCTTGACCACATTTAGCCACTTTTAACTCGTCAACTTGAACAAAGTTGCATAAAGTTATGTCCGAGCCACTACCACGTTCTGTTGTAAGAAGATAAAGATTTGATTTTCATGATGGCCGCGGCAGACAATCGAAATGATCAAACATGAGCATGAATGGAACAGTCAGTTTTACAGATCTTCTTCTTCTTTCGGTGTTTCCCTCTTCAGGGGTCGCCACAGCGAGTCATCCTCCTCCATCTCACTCTGTCCTCACTCCAACTACCTCCATGTCCTCTCTAACTGCATCCATATATCTCCTCTTTGGCTTTTTCCTGGCAGCTGCATTTTCAGTCTGGCCTCTCTAACTTTATCTCCCAGTAGAGTTGCATTCGGGTCCAAATAATCAGACCCGACCCAGCCCATAGCCATAATTTCCAAACTTCACCGGATCTGACGAATTAACAGTAATTACATTTTTAATTAAGCTTTGACTGCTGGTCGGCGGACGCGTGCGGCTGAATAAAGGGCAGAAGATCGGAGCTGAGGGGGTGTTTGCCCATTCGTGGACGTCAAAGTGCATCAAATGGTTCCCTAACTTCTGCCTGCAATGGATCTTGCTCTGACGTGTCGGATATTTTGTGTTGTCACATGTTTAGGTCGTCGGCTGTGTGCGTCTGCTGAGTGCAGCGGCTGAATGAACGTCCATTTGTGCGATGGATCGCTGGCAGTAGTCCATCTGAAGCTTAACTGAACTTATCTCTCTCAAGGCCGGTCAGTGCGCGGTCAAACGGCCGCGTGTGGCAGGGATAGTATGGCAAGCCATGTTACCATATATTGGATCGTCAGCCGTGCGCCTCCGCTGACGCAATCAAAAGCCCGACACCGACCCGGCCCGCACATTAAGCACATTATTATGGACCAGCCCAGTTCGAATCCGGGTCGGGTGGAGCCGGGCTCGGGTTAGAAATGACAGCTCTATCTCCCAGTTGTTCGACCTGTGCTGTACCTCTGATGATCTCATTCCTAATCTTATCCATCCTTGTCACTCCTAAGGAGAACCTCAGCATCTTCATTTCTGCCACTTCCAGTTCTGTCTCCTGTCTTTTTGTCCATGTCTCTGTCTCCAGACCAGACAACATAGCTGGTCTCACCACTGTCTTGTAAACTTTTCCTTTGATCTTTTCTCACCTTTGTCACAAATCACTCCTGAAACTTTTCTCCATCCGTTCCATCCTGCCTGGACTCTCTTCTTCACCTTTTTACCACACTCCCCATTCTCCTGGACAGTGGACCCCAAGTCCTTGAAGTCCCGCACCTTTGTGACCTCTGCTCCTTGTAGCCTCACTGTTCATGGGCTGTCTTACTACGGCTGACTTTCATTCCTCTTCTTTCAAGTGCATACATCCACCTCTCCAAGTTCTCTTCCACCTGTTCCCTGTTCTCACCACAGATCACAACGTCATTTGCAAAATATATTCGAATACCATAAAATATACACAGATACTGAGCTAAAATTTGATCTGGTATTCAAAATGTATTCTCTGAATACGACATGTTGCTAAATTGTTTGAGACGGTCGAGGTTTGACCCAAACGACTCCGACTCCTTCATTCGTCAACATCAAATGATCTTATTTTAAAACATGGTGCCTTTCTTCGAAGAATGCTTAGCCTTTCTTTATCATATTAATGCATTGAGAACAGTTTTATAAACTTACAGTTACTTCACATGAAATAAATGTAATTATGATTTCCTTGTAAATTTATTTTCTTTACTTGAACACTGTTTCAGTTGATCCTTTTCAATGTGCAGTCTCACTTCTTTCTGCTCTTGTAGATTTTCGAGGAGTACCAGTAACACCATTTAAAAAGCTTGCAAACATTTAAATATCACTGGATGGGCTGTTTATTGGCGTTACCCTCTTCAGTGATGATCTGGACTTGTTGGTTGAGGCCGATGACCATCAGCTTACAGCCTGCTTCAGCCGAGCTGAGCTGAACGCCTCATAAGTGGAGCTTGTGCTTTTTATTGATCTCTTTGTTTTTCATAGCTGGAAGGGCACAATATTTTCTCCAACCTGAATTCCAGCGAGTACGAGCAGGTGCTGGAGATCATCCGGAAGGCCATCATCGCCACCGACCTCGCCCTGTACTTCAACAACCACCAGCAGCTGACGGAGCTTCTGACAGTGGGCGCGCTGGACTTCAACAACTACTCGCACAGGTCAGGCCGCGACGCCGCGACGCCGCGACGCCGCGACGCCGCGACGCCGCGGAGGTGGAGCCTCGCAGCAGCAGAGCTTTCGGGTTTCTCTGCACGGATCTAACGCGGCTTTGCTTCCCTCTAGGGACCGTGTGATTGGTCTGATGATGACAGCATGTGACCTGTGTTCTGTTACTAAGCGGTGGCAAGTCACACGGCTCATCGCTAACGACATCTACGCCGAGTTCTGGGCTGAGGTACAGTGGGATACTGTTCGAGCTCAAACCGTTTTAGAGTCATGCTCATCCCTCGGGTGGAACAGTCAGGCCTCTATTCTTGCCTTTACAGTAAATGTTCCTGCAACTTTGCATGTTTTATTGTTTGATTGGCCCCAAAATGTGCTGTCAGGAGGTTCGCCACAGTATGCAAACATCAAAGGTGTTTTGTTGTTTTGTTGCTCCGCAGGGGGATGAGATGAAGAAAATAGGAATTCAGCCGATCCCCATGATGGACAGAGACAAGAAGGATGAGGTTCCTCAAGGCCAAGTAAGACCAGGGCATTTTCTCATGCATCTCTAAACGCTTTGCCTCACACACTTCTAAGATGTTTGTTTGTGAACAGGAGATTTTATGGAGAACATAAGGAGGACTAGAGGGTAAACAAACAAAACAACATGTTGTTTTAAAAAGACAAAAGTTAGGTTTTAATTATTTAATTATTATACTGAGGAAGGTGGTAGGTCACCAGTTGGAGCCTCAGGGATTAAAATTGTGGTTTGGATCTTTTGAATGGGGTAATGAACAGCTAATATCTTACCTGCTGTAGATAGCTCTTTGAACAGCTTCAGTTTGGTGAAATAAAGTTTAAAAAATAAATGAAATAAAGTGAAATAAAGTTTTAAAGTTTGGGGAGTGGTGGCGCAGAGGTTAGAAGATGGGCCTGTGATCGGAAAGTCGCAGGTTCAACTCCCGGTACCGTCAACATAAAAAAAATGTGGGTGGAAAAGGTGAAACACCCACACCTCCCTCCACCCTCATTCGCCCCACTCTGGGCCCCTGAGCAAGGCCCTTAACCCCCACCATCTTCTCCCTTAACAGGTCTCTCTTGAAAATGAGTTCTCATGGCTCAATGAGACTACCTGGATAAATAAAGGGTAAATAAAAATAAATTAATCCTGACTGGACTGAGAAACTAACAGCTAGTTTGATCATAAGACCAAAATGGACTGCTGCCATCTCAGAGCAACTTTAGTCCCAAAAATGTTACAGCGATTCATGCTAACACTATTTTATGAAGCAAAACATTGTTTTCACTTTCATATTACCGTATTTTCCGGCATATAAGTCGCCGTTTTTTTGCATAAATTTGTCAGTCCTGTGACTTATATGCCAAAGCGCCTTATATACTTTTTTATTATATTCATAATGCAATTTTTGACTGATGCTTTAAATTTCGAAGGACTGCAACAGCGAGTCCTCCCGTGTGCGCTCGCTTCACTCAGCTGGTGCAGGTGGAGGAACGCTGGAGAGCTAGCAGCTCTGTCCACAATGGATGGATGGATGGATGGATGGATGGATGGATGGATGGATGGATGGATGGCACCACTCCACCCAGGCAAAACAAAGCAGTTTTGGCCATTAAATAAATCCATAATAAACACGACGGGTCAGCAGTGATGCATAATAAATGCAACTTATACGCCGAAGCGACTTATATGTTTTTTTCCTCTTCATGATGCTTTTTTGACTGATGCAACTTATACTCCGGAGCAATTTATGCACTGGAAAATATAGTATGTGTTAACCTGTTAAGGAAAATAACATCAGCAGCTAGCTGTAGCTGGTCCAGTGCAGCCTGGGACTGCTCTTTCAGAAATATTAAAATTGTCCTGCAAAAATAAGTGTGTAATGCTAAAAATTATGCCAATAATGATTGTTTATAAAAAGTGTTTACAAGAACTGCTATGAAATATTTAGAGAATGGTGTCGTTTCCTGACAGCAGCTATTCCCTTTAGTCGAACTAGCCATTATATCTTCAATCCAGCAAACTTAAAACTCTATTTCTCCAAAGTGACATTGCTCAAAGAGTTATCTACAGCAGGTAAGATATTAACTGTTTATATACCCTGTCCACAGATTACCACTTCACAAGATCCGAGCTTTCGCTTAAAGACTGAATCTTCATCAAGACATATAGAAATATTTAACTTTTACCATTGATGGTATATATTGGTGAAATTATCTACATACTTTTATTATTATATATGTAATCTTTCATTACTGAAATTATTAATTTGCTGCTAACTCTAAAAAGGTCTAATACAACTTTGAAGTGTTTATTCTGTTTAGATTTATGTGATGCTTAACTTGTTTACTTTAAACTACCAGTTTACCTTTTCTCTATTTCGTAGTACAAGTTACAAGAGGATGCATAGAATAAGGTCATTGTGCTGCGGGACAATGTCTTTGTTACACACAACATAAAAATAATAAATCGCATAAATTGAACGATTTGAACAAGAACTTCCTAGATGAAAATATTCAGAAACCTCCATTTGTCCGTTTGTTAAAACTGAAGACTTTTGTCTTTGACCTCAGAGTGTCTTCTCTTATCTCCACCAGTCGTGCAGGAATCATCTTCCATAAAGCCCAAAGATACTTTACTTATATACTTTTTACTTTGATGTCTAATTAACTTTGTACTTCAGATGAAATAAGGGGAATTTAAACTTGTATTTTTAATATGTAAAATGTGACTTCACCCATGTCTAAAAGTCATCTCTAATTCAATTCAGTTTATTTATATAGCGCCATGTCAAACAGAAGTCGTCTCAGGGCACTGAACAGAAACATTCATAAATATAAAAAAATAATAATTTAACATTAAGTATCTGAGGAGCAGACTGCTTTGAAATTAACTCCATCACAGAACTCTCATCTTGAGCAAACATGAAGGCGACAGTGGAGAGGAAAAACTCCCTCATGAGGAAGAAACCTTTAGCAGAACCAGACTCAGGACAAGTGGCCATCTGCCTCGACCAGTTGAGTTTGAGAGGAACAGATACACAATGGCAGGTCAAGATTCACATGCTAAGATAGAAATAATATCAAATGAAAACTATTAAATTTTAACAATTCATTTAAGGAAATGAGGTCAATTTGTCCTCTAGTAGTCTAAGCTTAAGGCAGCATGACAAGCCAACCCTAACTATAGGATTTATCAAAAAAAGGAAAGTCTTAAGCCCAGTTTTAAAACTGGACAATGTGTCAGCCTCACAGACAGAAACTGGAAGTTGGTTCCACAAGAGAGGAGCCTGATAACTGAAAGATCTTCCTCCCATTCTGCTTTTGGAAACTCTAGGAACTGCAAGTAAACCTGCAGTCTGAAAACGATGTGCTCTGTTTAGGAAAATATGGAACAATAAGATCTGTAATATAAGATGGAGCTAGGTTGTTGAGAGATTTGTAGGTTAGAAGTAAGATTTTGAATTCAGTTCTGGATTTGACAGGGAGCCAACGGAGAGAAGCTAAAACTGGAAAGATATGATCTCTCCCACTAACTCCAGTTAAAACTCTGGCAGCAGCATTTTGAATCAACTGAAGACATTTTAAAGAAATGTTTGGACATCCAGATAATAAACCATTGCAATTGTCCAGTCTAGACGTGACAAATGCATGAACCAGTTTTTCTGCATCATTTTTAGATAAGATGTTTCTAATTTTAGCGATATTACGCAGGCGGTTCTAGTAACGTTTTTAATGTGGGGGATAAAAGACATGTAGATCAAAAATAACACCAAGATTTTTATCATTAGAGCTGGATGTCAGATTAATGCCATCCAAGGAGTGCGAAAGACTGAAAAATGCATTCCTAAAATGCTCGGGTCCAAAAACTAAAACCTCTGTCTTGTCTGTGTTCAAAAGGAGAAAAGTTAGGGTCATCCGGGTTTTTATCTCTTTAAGACATGCTTGTAGTCTAAATAGCTGATTGGATTCATTGGGTTTAGAACTACGCATATTGTCTTCAACTACTTTACCTTTCCTTTAAAATTAAAAGATGTGAATATTTCAGTTTCAACACTAGAACAAGTTTTATTGTCATATGACTCAGTCCTTCTCAAATTCAAACTCCTCAGTCATGAATAATCTGTGATCAACACAGCGCAGTCAACAGAAAAGACTGCTTTAAGTATATATTTATCAAACTGGTCTTGACGTGACAATTCAACCTAACATGTTGGTTTTGTTTCTGTTTCTACAGGTTGGCTTCTACAACTCTGTTGCAATTCCATGCTTCTCGACTTTATCAGAGCTCTTCCCTCCGTCTGGTGCTCTTTTAAAAGCCTGCAAGTGAGTTTTTATTGAAAAGATGAGATTTTAAAACAAAATAATCAAAACATTTGGTGTTTTGTGCATGCACTTGTGTGTCTAAAAAGTCAAAGGCAACAGGGAAAACTTTATGGCACAACATTGTCGTTCTGATTTTACAACTGATGGATCAATAATCACCTAACCGGCGGCCAGAGGTCACCAGGAGTTCATATTCCATTCGATCCTCTGACTATATGAATAATTAAAGATTCAACATTATAGGATGGAATGCATCCTGTCCTCTTTCTCGCCCAAGTTTTAGATCATCATATGTTGAGAAATGACAAATAAACCTTGCAAAACAGTCAAAACTTAAAAATAACTTTGTGTAATTTCTGCCCTCTACTTCAATAAGCTTGTAAAGTATTTACGCTGGTTATTACTGGTTTATAAACGGGATTGTTTTGCACATTTGCTCACCCTCCTGCTGCTTTGTAAAATATATCCTTGATCAGCGGGATCTGTAAAATATGTAATCTGTAAGGCCCAGCAGAAGGCTCTGAGGGTCAGCAGGCCGTGACGCCGAGGAGCTCATCCTAAAATCAGCTAAAGAGGTGATCTGGTCAGCTGGCAGGGCAGCTGTTTCTGCACTTGTGTGTTTAATTAAAAAGTTGTAGAAAAAAGGTCAACAAGTCTGAAAAATGAATTAAAATGTAATGTGCATTTAGTCAGTTTTAACAAACCTAACCCCATTGTAATGTATCCTAAATATAACATCAATATTATATTTTGAATAAAGCTTAGTATGTGTGTCTGTTAGCAAAATATCTAATTGACAACTGGATTCAGTTGAAAGAAACTTTCAGAAACGTATAATTGGATGCACATCTACAACTGATTTAATTTTGGAGTTATTCCAGTTCAAGATGGCAGACACATCTAATCAACATGAGCCCACACAAAAATGTCTATACAGTAGCCCCTCGTTTATCGCAGGGGATCCTTACCCTGAAGACCCGCGATAAGTGAAAAACGGCGAAGAAGGAGTAGTAGTACAAGTAGTAAGTAGTATTTTATTTATATAGATAGATATTAAGGTGTTTTAAACCCTTCTCACACTCTTGCAATATTCTAAACAATGTTTCTAAACTCTAAATGCTTTTAAAGAACACAGAATGTCATGATTTCAGTTCCCTGCCTCCTCTGCTCTTTGCCACCTGCTCTTGGCCACGCCCACTTCTTTGTGCTGCACAGTGAACAGCTGATCAGCTGCAGCAGGAAGTTTATCCTGCAGTGTGGGCTTCACAAAGGTGCAGCAGGTGCTAAATAATTTTAAATAATTTCATTTAAATTTTTAAAAAATCCATGCCGATCGTCCATCAACCAGCCAATTGTGTGTCGTGTCCAATCTTATTTTGAAAAACCGCGATGCGATGAACGTTTTTCATTTTCGTTTCACATTTTCTTTGTGTTTGCAGGGAGAACCTGAACCATTGGGAGCAGATCGCGCGAGGAGAGGAGGAGGACATCATGCCCAGCCGGCCCTCTGAATCAGGTCCCGTCAAGGTGGATAACTGACGACCAAAGGGGGGCTGCTGGCCCTGCAAAGAATCCAAACCGAATCCTGCCACGCTCCTGAGACTTCGACAGGGGTGACGACGCAGCCCATCCCGGGTCCGCGGGAGTTCGATTAGCTCAAAGAGACTTGGCTTTGAAAACACACAGTTACCTCATCGGGTGACGGAGGTGTCCACACTGACGGTTTCACCGATCCCAGAGACTGACAGATCTTGTGCGGGGAGGGTCTTTAACCCGTCGCCCTGCATCTTCTCAGCGTGGGAATTAGTTTGGTAGAATGACTTAGTCATTTCACTCACGTTATTTGGCTGTTATGTTGTTTTTTGTGACTTTTCTTTCTTAATTTGAACTGATTCGTTTATGATCTTGTATTTGCAGAGGCCTTACTCTGAACCTTTAACACACACGTGAATTTATTTCAGTTCAGCCTCTTTGGAAGTGGTACTGTTTGCCTTTTGTTTTACGTTTGTCGGACACGCACTGTTTCAGAAAGGTATTCCCAGAGACGGAAGGAATGTGTAGAGGAGATTTATCGCATAGTGGCACCTTATTGCAAAAGGTGGACTTTAGAATGTTTTTATAATTAATATTATTTATAGCAAATATTCTTTGCAGTACTTGAAGAAATACATACAGCCTATTTTTATGTGGAGATTGCAGAAATCCCCCTGGAAACATAGATGAACTGTGACGAGGGGAGTAAATGTCGACACTTGTGAACATGCTCACGAGAGTCACATTGTTGGAAGTCTGAGGTGGATCCTGCCCCCCCACCCCTCAACATTTAGAAATATGCTGCATCTACATGTTTTTGTTTTTTTGCTCAACAGGACTACACACACTTTATTTCCACTCGTTTTCCAGCATCTCACACATCAAAGTAAATATTCAATGGTGGTATGAAGAGCTAGCCGCTTATATGTGTGCTGTGTCTATTTTATTGTAGATAAGCAAGATTAAAGTCACTTAAAGTGATAATTCTGATATTATAAAGTGGGATTCTTTGGAAAGGTTATCCTACCTGTTGGAGATGGTCTTCTAACTACCTTAGCTTAAAAAAAATTGTTTATTTCTGACCAGACCGATGAGCTAACCACTTATCCGAGCCGAACCAAAATCAAAGTGGATTGCTGACATCTTAACACCAAACACACACAATTATAGCGGTTCATTTAAACCATAAGAAATGAACCTTTACATAGAATTTTGTGGATATTTGCTAGTGCAAATTGCAGTGGCAGCAGCTAGCTGCAGCACTTTCTGTGCATTTTCAGCAGAATTACATTAACATGTGTGCCCAGACACAATAAAACGCACGCACACACAAGGATGTGACTGTAGCCTTGAAAGAGTTTTCATTACACATCACCCCAAAACTTTAGAGCTGAGACTTCAGCTATGATATAATAATGATAAATGCCAACGTCAAACACTATGAAGTAGTGGCCTGAATATTTCCATAATTCAGAAACTCGCTGAGCAGAAAGGCTTTCCCGCTTTTTATACATCAGGAACAATATCTGACTTACAGTGTCATTTTTTATAGTCACTAAGAACAAGCTGAACATAATACAAACACTAAACAGAACAACCAGCAGGAACAACCCATGTGAACATATAATTCAAAAATATTCTGTCCCATGACTACCCAGCATCCCCTGTTCACACAGTCTCTTGCATTCAAGCACAAGATTGTAATTTGAATCCAGCAGTCCCTTGATTATTGCGGGGGTTATGGTCCACACATCGCCGCCATAGGTGAAAAACCACAAAGTAGGAACGCTATATTTATTTTAATATTTATAAATATTTTAAGGCTTTATAAACCCTCCCCACACTCTTGCAATGTTCTTAACAATGTTCTAAACCAGGGTTATTCAACTGGGGCCAAATCAGTGTCACAGGTGAGCTCAGTTTGGCCCACCTACTGGTTCATTTTTAAATAAAACTAGATTTTAAACCGTAAAACAAGCTTAATAACAATATCTGCTGGATTTCTGGCCCCTGAGCTCTTGGCTTTCAGTAATTGTGGCCCCAGAGCAATTTAGTTGAATAGCCCTGTTCTAAACTCTTAAACCTACGTAATTTTAATAACATACGTATATGTACTGTACAGTACTTCAAAGTTTTATATGGGTACTCACTAGTGAAGATACTACTACAATTTGAAGGATAAGTTCAGCTTCAAAATTATTTGTGACTTTCCTGCCTGTTCTGTGAGCTTCACAGAAAGATCGTTACTTGGGACTTTGCCACATCGGTTTCTCCGCTAGTGTTTGCTCCCTCCATTGCTGTTCATTGAATTTCGTCAGAAAGCAGCGGGTGAAAGCACTGTTGGCTTGTGGGCCTTGTAGTTTTGTTTTCTTGCTTTACAGTGTAGGCTTATTGAAAGAAAACTACAAAATGGTGGTGCCTGTCCAAAGGTTTTTTTGTCCTATGGGTTGGTTCCCGCTCCCGTCTGCTCACGTTAACTTCTTATCCCATACCGTCCCATTCATTTATATAAAAGTTGACAATCCGTGTGTTGTGTACAATCTTACGTTGAAAACCTGCGAAACAGTGAGTCCGCAAATGTCGAACCGCGAAATATCGAGGGACCACTGTAATTCACTCTGAAGTTTGACAACAACCCACAGAACTTACTGTTTCGATAAAAATTTACCGTAATCAAACCAAAACACTGTTATTTAGAAAATTGTCAGTGTAAACCGAAATGGGATATTTAACGTTCATTTTTTTTAGAGCTACTACAATTTTTTTATTTTAATTTTTGAATTACATCACAGGTCTTCATGCGGTCAAATAAACAACCCGCAGGGGGTTCCCGAAGGCTCAGAGCCCCGTGTTTTGGTCCCGCCCACTCTACAACATCAACATTGTGATTGGTTAAACTTCCTGTCAAATATTAAACAAACTCATCCTGGAGAGTCGGAGTGAGCTGTGCCTTCTCTCCTGGCAGTGAAGTCCTAACCAATGAGAAAGCTCCTTCAGACGTGTTTCTTACTGGAGATGCAAATCTAAAAGAATCTCACCGGATAAATATCTTCATAAGTTTCTTATTCAACCGCAAAGTAGTTTACAGAAAATAAGAGAACTTGGGAAAAGTCAAATAAATAAAAAAATAGAAAATATATTTTTTCACAAAAATATACAGTAGTCCCTTGCTACTTCGCAGCTCATTTATCGCAGACTCACTCTATCGCACTTTTTCAAAATAAGATTGGACATGACACACAATTGGCTGATTGATGGATGAGCTGCACGATCGGCATGGGATTTTTATTTAAAATAAATTATTTTAAATTATTTAGCACCTGCTGCACATTTGTGCAGCCCAGAGCTGCAGGATAAACTTCCTGCTGCAGCTGATCAGCTGTTCTCCGTGCAGAGCTGAGAAGTGGGCGTGGCCAAGAGCGCTTGTAGGTGGTAAAAATCAGACGAGGCAGGGAGCTGAAATCATGACATTCTGTGCTCTTTAAAAGCGTTTAGAGTTTAGAAACACTTTTTAGAATGTTGCAAGAGTGTGGGAAGGGTTTAAAATACCTTTACATATTTATATATAAATATATACATATATAAATAATAAAATAAACTACTTACTACTTGTACTACTATTCCTACTTTGCGGTTTTTCACTTATCACAGGTCTTCAGGGTACGGATCCCCCGCGATAAACGAGGGACTACTGTACATGTATATTAAAAAAACACAATCTCATATGTGCTGCATTTATGGGCCTTCAGTGAAGGTGTAGCAGGTCCTGAGGTTTCCCCACTGGTCAACATGCATTTTGGGGATTTCCAGTCTGGCTTTTTATGGTCTCTCCTGGTTCTTCTTCCATGGAGCCCATTATGATTTAAAATGTGACAGATGATGCAACGACCCCGAACTATCTGTTGACTTGTTTGATCCCTTTAAATCCACTGAACAGCTCATTATATATTTGCATACACCTGCGATACTAATTATGGTCACACACTTAATGCAAATATTAATAGTCGATTTAAGGGTCTCAACAATTGTGTTCATGCCATTATATTTTTGTAAAACAAATTTCAAATCTTTTTTTTTTGTATTTTTTGTATACTCTGCTATATTCTAAAGGCATGCAGATATACTGATTTTAACTGAATCATTTTGCACAAGAAATGAAGCTGTGAGAACACCAACAAACATATCCACATTGGTAACTGTGTTCAATGGTGGCAGCAACCCTCTTTGATTTTGGCAAAGAGCTTTCTGCAACAGGTAAGATACTACCTGCTTATAACCTTTGCACAGAATCCCTCTTCATAAAACCTAAGTATCAACGGTGACATGGCTTACATCCTATAACTCCAACCCTTTTAAGTTGGTTTGAAACATGCCTATCTCTGGGATTGCAACGCAAAAGTGCTGTTTGAATTTTTTTCTTGCAAGTGTGTGACAGACGTTTCAGTGATATCCAGGCTGTAGAAAGAGAGAAATCCTCCTTCGTGCACGCTTTTGTCAACTCATACTAGGAGCTACATTTGGACTCTTTCTGACGACTTTCCAAGATCTTCCAAAGGACAAATAGTTTTGTCTTAATCTGCCCTTTCCAGTGGACAATATCCCTCTAAGACTGAGATTTCTAGTATTTTCTTTTTGTTTGTTTTGTTTTTGTACGGCTGGTACTGTGAGTGTCACGAATGTACACCTTTTGACGAATGTTTTAGGTGTTTTTATAATTTTTTTTAATGCAGGTTCCACGTGTGCTCTCTTACTTTTTAGATTTGCTTCCAGTCAGCTTCAACAAAGAGCAACAAGCATGCACCTTACCTGAAGTTTCTGTGCAACTTTGCACACAGAGGCGTGCAGTGTGCACAATCTGGGATTTAGCTTGTACAGACGGAGATATGTGTTCTGATGGTGCTAAACCAACGGCAGTCGTGCACATTCTCTGTGTGCGTGTGTGTGTGGAGGTGTGTGTGTGTGCGTGCGAAAGCCTTTTCTTCGTTTTTCACTCCAGTCCCACCTGACATGGTGAAGTCACTGCACTGTCCCTTCTTTCCAGCACCGTTTGCATCCCATTGTCTGCACTATGTTTAGCTTCTGAACTTT